CAAACCAATCGCCTGCTGAGGATGTTCCTGAATTAGTGTCTGAGCCACTCCGAAAATAATTACCACAGCGTCACACTAGAGGTATTCCTAAACCCACATATGAACTTGAACTTTCTAGTAAAGTAAAGTATCTCATGAGTCATTATGTGTCGAACCATCGTTTGTCAGAATCAAATTGTCATTTGTACATCAATTATCTACTGTATCTATTCCTAACAGTGTGCAGGAAGTCTTAGTTGATCCTAAGTGGAAAACAGCTATAAAAGAGGAAATGCAATCCTTATAAAAAAATAAAACTTGGGAACTCATTGATCCTCCACCAGGAAAGAAACCAGTAAGATGTCGATGGATTTACACTGTGAAGTATAAAGCTAATGGCACAGTTGAACGCTTTAAAGCAAGGTTAGTGGCAAAAGGTTACACCCAAACCTATGGAATCGATTACACAGAGACGTTCACACTTGTAGCCAAAATCAACACAGTTCGGGTCTTGTTGTCTTTAGCTGCGAACTTGGATTGGCCATTGCAACAATTCGATATGAAGAATGCCTTTCTGCATGGTAAATTATCTGAAGAAGTCTACATGGATCTCCCACCAGGATGCATGATACCCGAAAATTATAGTCGAAAGGTCTGTAGGTTAAAGAAATCATTATATGGGTTGAAACAATCTCCGAGAGCATGGTTTGGAAGATTCACAAAGTCAATAATAGCCTTTGGCTACCATCAGAGCAATTCAGACCACACATTATTCCTGAAGAAACAACAGGGTAAGATCACTGCACTCATTATATATGTAGATGACATGGTGGTTATAGGGAATGATCTTGAAGAAATGAAGGCCCTCAAGAAGTACTTGTCCAGAGAATTTGATGAGCGCTGAAAAGTACACATTTAAATCCCCTAAGTGAGGGTATTTTAGTCCATTCATCTATCTTATTTCCCGCTTTAGATTGATTTCATGTGATTTCCATTTTTAAGTACTTATCCCCAAAATAAGCTAACTTAGCCAAATAAGAGCATAATTGAAGCGATTCTGGGATGAATCAAATAAAGGAGCAAAGTAGAGCAAAATGAAGCAAATGGTGAAATTTCAGTAACTTCGATCGATCTCAAGAAAAGTTCGATTGATCCAACTTTTATCTATCTCAGCACTCCAAGATAGATCCAAGCCATGATGTCATCTTCAGACATCCCAAAAGTTCGATCGATCCAACATCATTCTCTGATCGATCGAACTTTTTTGTCCTTATCCACATGCCAGATCTTATCCAGCTGTACCACCCTACCAACCACTTTTGTCTTTTTCCCAAAAATATCTTCAAAATATCTCAGATTTGTTTTTATCCAAAAAGGCGCCGCCATTGAGGATCGATCCAGCTTCAATTCGATAGATCGCAACCATATTCAATCGATCTCACCTCAAGTTTGATCGATCGAACTTCCCAAATCCCAAGAAAAATCTAAATTCCAGCTCATTAAAAGTTGTCGCATATCTAATCATTAGAGAATTATTGGTGTACGAGCCCAGCTTATTGGGGGTGACTTTTGACCTACCTATATAAGGAATATGAGTCACTTTTACACAGACACATACTTAGAGAAGATAATACTTAATGAGGAAGCAAAGGAGAGGAGGAGGCTAGAGACACCATTGGAGACTCTTCATCAACCAAGGAGCAGATTTCTTCCATAGAGCTTGCCCTTGAGGATTGAAAGACATCATCCATGAGTGGCTAGACATCCTCTTGGGGCTAGAGTTATCCCTAAGCATGCTTTCTACTTCTTGATTTATGTATTTTTGAGGGGATTTGTATTGTGATTCATGTCTTGACACTTTTATATATATAGATCTTGTTTATTCAATGATTTATGTGGTCGAATGCTTCCAATTGATCATTTCATTCTATCCATATATCTATGTATGCTAGAATAGATGTTCATATGTTTGTCTCTATTTCTTGTGTTATTGATGCATGTCTATGTGTATTGATGCTATAGATCTAGAGATTGTCAAGACATAGTGCTTAATGGAATGTTCTTGTGGTTTATTTGATGGTTCATACTCATTTCTTGATGGATTGTATCTCTCTCTTAGTTTAATTTCATGTCATTAGCTTAGTTGTAGTGTAGTTGTTAAATGGGAGGACAATCTATGCTTGTTGTTAATGTTCCATACTTATGAAAGTAAGTAACATATATCTCTAACCTTGTGATGTGTTTAGATTGTGAGCTTAAAGAAGGGATTAATGGCTTAATTTGATATATTGTGTTATCCACCATGTTATTTAGACAATATATGCTTAATTTGTCATCCATACTTGTTGGAACAACCACACACACACACCTTGTTGCAATACATGTTTTTCCCCTCATTAATCATTCATTAAAGGTGTAGAAAAGTTATGCTTAGTGGTGATCTCTAAACCTCAAGATCTCTCTCTCTCTTTCATTCTCTTTATTGCATTATTGTTTACTTTAGTTTAAGTTGCTTCTTAGTTTAATTCCACCAATCAACCACTATTTTGATCACTCGACCTACTAACCCTAATCTTGATTCCTCAACCTAGTACGACCCTCAATCCCTTGGGACGATCCCTTCTCACTCATACTACATAGTATAGGTGTTAAGCGGTTTATAAATTTAAATTATGGTGTCCACTTGACACTAATTTCTAAACTCAAAGTATTGTGCATTATTTTGTGCGCACCCTTGGGAAGTCACCAGAATTCGAAATGAAAGATCTAGGTCATTTGAGATATTTTTTTGGGATCGAAGTATCTCGATCTAATTAAGGAATCTTTCTATCTCAAAGAAAATATGCCTTAGATCTATTACAAGAGACTGGCATGACAGCATGTCAACCAGCTGAGACACCAATGGAAGAAGGACTGAAGTTATGTGTTGAGTCCAACCAAGTACCTGCTAATAAAGGAAGATACCAAAGACTTGTAGGGAGATTGATATATTTAGCACACACGAGATTAGATTTAGCTTATGCATTGAGCATTGTTAGCCAGTTTATGCATGATCCTGGAGAGCAACATATGAATGCAGTTATGCGCCTTTTGAGGTATCTGAAATATGCTCCTGGAAAAGGAATTTTGTTCACTAAAAATGCTGGTTATCAAAACATAGATGCATATACTGATGCTGACTGGGCTGGAGCTATAGATGATAGGCGATCTACTTCTGGTTACTTCACTTTTGTAGGCGGTAATCTTGTTAAATGGAGAAGCAAGAATCAAAATGTTGTTGCTCACTCAAGTGCAGAAGCTGAATTCAGAGGTATGGCGCTTGGACTTTGTGAAACTTTGTGGTTAAGACTTCTCTTACGGGATTTGGGTTATCTACCAAGGCAACCGATTCGACTATATTGTGACAATAAAGCAACATGTGATATTGCCCATAATCCAGTTCAACATGATCGTACGAAGTATGTCGAAATAGACAGATTCTTCATTAAAGAGAAGTTAGATGGAAAAATTGTAGAGTTGCCTAAGATTTGATCTGAGGATCAACTAGCCGACATTCTCACCAAAGCAGTCTCAACTCAAGTATTTTCAAAAAATTTAGACAAGTTGGCGTGTGTGACATCTATGCACCAACTTGAGGGGGAGTGTTGAGATTTTACCTCTGGTAATCCAGGATTATACAGCTGTAAATTGAATTATTTCCTCCTTGATTTGGGCTAATTGGTAGGTAATTAGTTTCCCGATTATTGTATAATTAGTTACCTATTTTAGTTAGGTATTATTTTATAAATTGAATATAAAGCCATCGTAAATAATATCGAATTGAGTTTTGAATCTCATTCTTTCTCTGAATTTCAAGAGTGACAACGTGTTGAGCCGTGATGATGAAGAGGACGTCGAGATTGATGACGTGGGGTGTGGGTGACGGCGGTCTTCATATCAGTTTGTTCCAAGGACATAGGATGAATAGACAACGTGTAAGATGATGTCAAATTGGATTCTACCTAGCAAGTAGGTCAGACTGTTCTGCCTGAATATCACGACCCCTACGAAATATTTTTTTTTGGGTAAGTAACTAGTGAAGAAATATTAAAAAAAGGTTCTTCCTAAAATAAATATTTAGGAATTATTTTATAACAGGACTTTGTATGCAGAAGCATCTTAAAAGTTGTTTATTTTTAGGAATTATTTTATAAAAACTTAGAAAGTTTATGAGAGGATGCATTATTATGATTATTATTACACCTAAAAGAGACTAAATTTTTAATGTATCCAATTTATACATATAAAGTGTAGTTCAGACACTAAAACATATTTTTTAATTTAAGATTGTGTTAGATAGTAGTATTTCCTCCATCTCTTAAATTGAAAAAAGTAAATATTTAAATTTTTAGAAGAATAAACAAGAGTGTGTGAATTTTTTATCAATAAAAAATAAAAAAATAAATATAAACAACACTTGCTTTCATTTGGAGAATTTTCTGGTTGACCCATGCATCTTAAAGTTCCTTGTTTCATTCAATAAAAGTGCATGTGTATGCATATATATCGCATATATATAATCTATATATACTATTATACCCTTATATTTTGAGAGAGAGACCATGTTTGATGGGCTGGAACGAAGGCTATCAGCCTTTCAGGATGATAGGCAGACACGAGCAGTCATTGTTCCTAATTTTAAATATCACGTCTTCGATGTTTGAGCATTTGATGCTCACTATTTTACTTATTTGAGAGAGAGAGAAGAGAGGAGAGAGAGAGAGAGAAGGGGTTATTCGACAATTCAGAGCCCGTACAGTTTTGCAGGTAAGGTGGGAAGAACATGTTTAGCAAGCGAATGTCCAACACTTGCATTACATTACGTCTCCGTTTGGTGGAAAGTTTCCAGCAACTTCACTTATCCTCTAAAACAGAGTATTATATAACACACCGACATCAACACCCATATATAATAAAGAGGACTCATTTGAAGTACCAAAATTGCTTTGAGTCATTTTACACAAACAAATCACCAACTGCTAATGGCTTCTTCTTCTTCTCCTCCTCCTCCCCCTCCTCCTCAATGGAATTATGATGTCTTCTTAAGTTTTAGAGGTGTAGACACTCGTAAAAACTTTGTGGATCATCTCTACAGTGCTCTAGAACAGAAAGGAATTTACACTTTCAAAGATGACAAGAAACTTGAAAGAGGAAAATCAATTTCTCCGGAACTCATCAAGGCTATTAAGGAATCGAGAATTGCAATCATCATTTTCTCAATAAACTATGCTTCTTCCACTTGGTGCTTGGATGAACTGGTGGAGATCATTCAATGCAAGACCACAATGGGACAGACAGTTTTGCCCGTCTTCTACAACGTGGATCCCTCCCGAGTAAGGAAACAAAAGAAGAGTTTTGGAAAAGCATTTCGCAAGCATGAAGAAGCTTTTGGGAAGGACGACCAAAAGGTGCAAAGCTGGAGAAATGCTTTGGTTGAGGCAGCAAACTTAAGCGGGTTCGACCCAAAAGAAATTGCAAATGGGTACGTAATTAATTTCCAACTCAAACTATAATTTTGAATATCTTTCTATCAGTATTTAGCTGTATTGTTATTATTTATTGTTTTCAGCGATATTAACATCTTTAGTTATATTAACAATTTTGTGGATCGGGGTTTATTTTATATTAGATTGAGTAGTTATATCTATGAATTCCTCATACTTTTTTTTCCCCCTTTTTTGGGGCCTATATGAATTCTTCACCTGAATATCAGAATATGGATGCATTGTTGAACCATTATTATATGCACAAGTTCCTGGGCAACTATATGTGGCTGCCAATTCTATCAATTTGATTTATAAATTTAGTTGTTTACCAATATTATCTCGTATATTATTATAATTGACAGAAATATGCATTATATTAACTTCAATCTTTATCTATTATTGATACAATCAAACTCACACATTTGACTTTTTTTTTTATAATATGTTTCGGACTTGATAGGCATGAGGCGCAATTTATTCAGAAAATTGTTCAAGAGATTATGGAAAAATTGGGGAGGCATATACCATTAGATGTTACCAAATTCCCGGTGGGGATAGATTCTCGTGTAAATAAAGTGATCACTCTGCTAGACAATGGGCAGAAGGATGTGCGCATTGTAGGGATTTATGGAGTTGGCGGGATAGGAAAGACAACAATTGCTAGAGCTGTTTTCAACCGAAAATCTGGTGAATTTGAAAGTCATTGTTTCCTTGCAAATGTGAGAGAAGAGTCAAAAGAACATGGTCTAGCGTATCTCCAACAAAAACTCTTGAAGGAAATCCTAAAGGAAGGAGATTTAAATATATGTGATGTTGGCCACGGGATCAATGTGATAAAGCAAAGACTCCAACACAAGAAGGTTCTTGTAGTTATCGATGATGTGAATAGTTTGGAGCAATTAGAAAGTTTAGCAGGGAGAAATGACTGGTTTGGTTTTGGAAGTGAGATCATCGTAACAACTAGAGATAAACGTGTGTTGGAACAGCGTGAAGTTCTTGATCATGAAATCTACGCGGTTGATCAGTTGAATAACGATGAAGCTCTTCAACTCTTTAGTTGGCATGCCTTCACGAAAAACTACCCTGAAGAGAATTATTTGGAACTCTCACGAAGTGTAATTAATTATGCTCAATGCCTTCCATTAGCTCTTCAAGTTTTGGGTTCTCTTTTATTTAAAAGAAGCATAGAATACTGGAAAAAAGAACTCGAGAGATTGAAAAAAATTCCAAATAAAAAAATTTATGAAGTTCTCAAGATAAGTTTTGATGGCCTTGAGGATACGGAGAAGGATCTATTCCTTGATATTCCTTGTTTCTTTAAAGGGTATCATGAAGATGAGGTAAAGAGTATATTGGACACTACTGGGCGAATTGAATTTCTAAAGGAGCGGTCCTTGATAACTATCTCACACAACAATAGGTTGTGGATGCATGATTTGATACAAGAAATGGGTTGGGAAATTGTTCGTCAAGAATCACCTAATGATCCCGGCGAACGTAGTAGGTTGTACTCTCATAAAGATATCTATATAGTACTCAAAGAAAATACGGTATGTTCACCCACATATAATTTTCTTTCCACGTGCAAGCAGTTCAAAAAACATAGGCTTTGCTCATTTATTTATTTTTATTTATTTATTTATTTATTTCTTCATATAAGCCGTTGCAAAACTTGTATAATTCTAATTAGGCTTTAAAATGTGGTAACTTATACCATGGCCTTGGTTATCAGGGAACAGAAAAAATTAAAGGCATCATGCTAGACAAACCTCATCACCATCTACCAGAGGAGTTACATGTAAATGTTGATGTCTTTGCGAAGATGAAGAGACTTAAACTGCTCAAACTTAGTGGCATACAGCCTCATGGACGCCTTACATATCTTCCAAATGAATTATGTTATCTTCATTGGGAATATTACAGGGGAAGATATTTGCCATCCAATTTCCAGCCTGAAAATCTTGTTCAACTTCACCTTCCTCGTAGCCAAATCCAACAAATTCCAATGGACATCAAGGTATGATGACAGTTTATTTACATATGAATTGTATTGTTGGTTGTATTGAAACTGATTTATTTCTTGCATTGCTTGTTTGCTTAACAGTTTATGGGGATGTTAAAACATCTCAATTTCAGCGACTCCCCATATTTGGAAAAAATTCCTGATCTGTCCAATTTCCCACTTCTTGAGGAATTAGATCTCAAACATTGTAGAAATCTAGTTGAGTTTCACCTTTCCAGTGGAGTTCATGAGAGGCTTGTCTGGGTGGATCTCGTTGGATGTAAAAAGCTGAGTCGTCTCCGAGGAAGCATCAAGTTGAAAATTTTGAAATATTTTGATCTATATCATTGCTCAAAACTTGAGAAATTTCCAGAGGTTCAGGAAGGTATGGATAGTTTGGAGAAGCTTTGTTTAGGCTTTACTGCAATAGAAGATTTACCCTCATCAATGGAACATCTTACTGGGCTTAAAAGTTTAGAACTAATGTACTGCCATAAGCTTAAAAGTATTCCAAACAACATTTTTTCTGGAATGAAGGATTTAGAGTCCCTTTGGATTTGTGGAACTCTTATAAACCAGGTACCATCATCCATTGTACACTTGAGTAATCTTACTTCGCTCCATCTCAGTGATAGAGGAGGATATCCCAAGAGGAGAAGTTCATTGATGCCAAAATCATTCCAGCTGGGAAAGAGAACAAATGTTGCTAATTCAACTTATTTGCAACTGGATTTGCAAGGCGGTTTGTGCAATTTAATTCATTTACAACTCTGGAGATGCAATTTGTCTGAAGAATCCTTATCCAGTTTTGGCCACCTATCCTTGTTGAAAACTTTAAATCTAAGTGGAAACAATTTCGCAAGCATACCAGCAAGCTTCAAACAACTCACAAACCTCAGAGATCTGGATTTGACACATTGCACAAGCCTCCGAAACTTGATGTCACTTCCGTCGTCTATAAGGCGTGTTGATGCAACTGGTTGCAAATCATTGGAACAGTGTTGGTTTCCACCAAGTGTAGGCAGTCCAGACCATCGGGAATTCAACTTCAGAGACTGCTACAACATGCCAATTCTATTATCACAAAGTCAACTTCAGGTTCATCCCTCCTCTCTCTCTCTCTTTATATATAGTAGTATATAGATATGAAAAATCAGCTTGACGATCTTCATATATGCATGGAATGGAACAGGAAACGGGTACAATAATTGTTCCAGGAAGTGAGATTCCGCAATGGTTTAACCATAAGAGTGAGGCTGAGGGATCAGGCCGCTTTTTCCGAGTAGATCATCCACCTTCTTACAATAACGTCAAAGGAATTGTCTTTTGTCTTGTTTTGGAAGGACTCCGTGAAACCACGTCCTCACATATATCGTTTAAGCTCCATGTCATTGGTGAGTCGGGGATCCACTTTTATGACACCCGCATTGATGTAGAAGAGATTGTGCCGTCAAATCACGTTATTTTCATTCACAAAACCAAATATTATGACGATGTTGAAAAAGTTCATCGACCAATTAAAGATTTGCTCCGACGAAGACCCATTGGCCTTCCCAATATTCCTGATGATGCCTCTTACCTTCAGGCTGAAGTATACTACTACTATCCAGAAGAAAATACGAAGGTCAAAAAATTGGGTATCCATCTAATTATGGAGGAGGAAGAGCAAGTTGAGACGTTGGAGCAAGGTGTGTCACACACAAGTTAGTACGGCAAATATTCAATATTATTTATAGTTTCATCTCTCTTCAAATTTAATTTTTCTATACTTAAATTAATTACGAAATCGTCAAAATCACACCATCGTGATTTTCATAGAAATTCTAAAACAGTGAGATTTGAACCGGGGTTTCATTCTTCACAAGTTAATATGTTAGTATTCTTTCTATTTTATTGAATTTATAATCTAGTTGACACCAAAAAAAAAAAAATTAGGAATGAAAATTTTAAAAGAAATTTACGTAGAATAACAAGTTTATAAGGAAAATTGAAGAAATTGCTTTCCATAGTATTGGATTTTGCTCATTCTTTTGCTTTTTCTGTATGTTGTTCATCTATATAGGTCATCTTAATTAAGGGTCCTGAGGAGAGCTATTGCAGACCCCAAGGCTACATTTTAACAGAAATCCAAGAAGACGGTTCTATTTTTGTGAAACAGCAAAGCGATCCTTTTAGAGATATTTGTGTATGTTGTCAATTTCATTTTTGTTTTCTAATGTAATTAAGAATTTCAATTGTGATGAAAATGTGTTTTATTTGTATGAAAATATAGCTTTTTTATTTTTTCAATATAGGATTTGATCTTGTCATGCTTGCTTGTATAAGTAAGACTTTTGCATGTGAATTGATAATGTTTGTCTAAACTCAAAATGTTTTTATTTCAAATTCACCGGAGCTTTAAACTCACTGTAGGTCACTTGAAAATGAGCACAAATAAGAAGGAACTTTGGTACTATACATACAATCACTATTGCCAAAAAAAAAAAAAATGAACTTCAAGTTTTGACGTGCACTTTAGTTATAAATTAAGCAGTTGTATGAATTCTTCATTTTTTTCCCCCTCCTGGACTTACATTCAATTTCTTCTTGAAACAGCTGAAGTAGCATCCATGGAAGACAAAACAATAGAAAATCAATTAAGAGAAAATTGGTTGGCCATGTAGAGGGAAAACCCATAATAGCTTCAGTAACAAAGAGTGATGTGGTCCACATCGAGAGTAATTTTATAAGAATGGGGCAAAATATTAATTTAATACGTAAGTTACGGCCTTAATAGAGCTAAACAATGAAAAAGGAAACATTCAGCTGATACCAAATAGTTTGGGAATGTTTTTTCGAATTAAGTTGATCTTATGCATTTGGTGTATTTTCTAGATTTTTCTCCTCTGTCAGTATAGCTAGAACCATATATAAGTTTTATTTAGGCAGGAAAAAAGGAAAAGGTAACATGTGTAATATTTTCATTTTTCATCATTTTCCATTTTCCATTTTTGTCTTTTCACGTTGTGCATACCGGACACCGTGAGGTGTGCCGGGTGTGTCGGTGAGTTGTTTGGAGTATTTTATTGAGTTCAGCACTCTTTGAAATGCAAGGTTGTCATTTTTGCATTTTTTCACTTTTCGGGTTGAACGGTCCCGTGTGGGACCTGCTACTAGAATTGTTGCATGTGGGGATTTTGGTTGGGTCCATTTGTATCATATTTATTTTATTTAATGTGTTTTATGTGGGTCTCATATATTTTGTGTATTTATGTTTTTATGTGATGTAAAAAAAGAAAATAAATAAAAATAAAATAAATTTAATTTTGGTGGGACCCACATTCATGTTAAAGATTGGACCATGAGGCATTTAGACCTCATTTCTCACCTTTCTTTTTCTCTCTCTCTCCCTCCCCCTCCCCGGCCACTAGTCTCTCTCTCACCCCATTTCCTTGCCTTCTTTTTTTCTTTTTCTATCATGGCTATAAACCTTGATTCCTTCCTCAATTCTTGGTATATTTAATTGTCGTTTGTGGCAATTCAAAGAACATGGATCTTTATATCTATATAAGCAATTTCAATTTTAGTGCACTCTAGGAATTCGGTTTTGAGACCCATTTGGGGGGTTTTTGGCTTAAATTAAGGTAGGGGTTTCTAATTCCCAATTTTTTGTTTCTTTGTGAGTCAATTTCTTATTAATTGTTGCTAATATGTTTAATTGATGTTAATTAACCCTAGAATGATTTTATTGTGGTGTATAAAGTTCTTGATTTTATGTATTAACTGATGTGTATGAAAAACATGCTTAAGTGTTTATTCCCTATACCTATTGTATTACTAATTGCTAGAAATAATGTATGTAAGCACGTATAAATTTTTTAGAATTTTTTGTCAAGCATGCCTTATTTAAATTATTTGCCTTGAAAATAATATAATTGTTATAATAGAAAGTTTATGCTTATATGTGTTGATGGTATCATGTGAGCAGCATGCCTAAATGTTAATTTCTATGCCTTCGTGTTTATTATTTTCCTAGAAATTTTTATGAAGAAGCATGTTAAATTGTGAAGTGTAAATTTCCTCTATTTTTATACTATTGGAAAAATACATGGCATGCATCTATAGCATTGGACATGAAAGAAAAAAAGAAAAGTGTTTTGAAATGAAAGTGAAAGGGATTTTTGGGAAGAAATTTTGATAAAATGATTTTTGAGAAAACCCGGTCGCTGCAGAGTTACCAAAGGGTCGTGGTGTTAATATAACGTAGAGGGAATTAGGGAGATCGACATAGCGTGCTTGAGCTATCTAGGCCCCAAATGACGCCACGGAGGTACCAACAGTCAGGGATAGTAGCCAATCCTTCTCTCATGTCGCCGCGGAGTCACCAACGGACGGGTTATATTAACGGTTTGAAAAGTGATGGATTTGGATTTTGAAAATGGGGAGTGACATTCATGACATCACATATCATGGCATAGCATTGTTATTTTGGAATTGGAATTAATGTTGTATTCATTCCCAGCATAGTATGACCCCGCTTCCTATTTCTATTCATTGTTTGGATTCACGGAGTCACAAGAGGTATGTCTTAAGCACCATCTACTGAGTTTTATGTTCACTCTATTATTTTAACATTTTTCAGGAGATGGGAAAGAAGTGGTGGATGACGTTCCACCACATGCCTAATTTGGATAAGAAGATCATTTTGCTATTTTTATATTCAAGTCTTTTTCTTTTTCTTTTTTTTTTTTTTTTTTTTTTTTTTTTTTTTTTTTTTTTTTTTGTAAAACTTAGTATATTGTATTCTGTACGGAGACTTATAGATCTTGTTATTATAATTATATTCATGAATTGTAAGTAGATGTAATTAGAGTAAAATTCTAGTATGTGAGCATAAGACTATGTATAAGACAAGTACTCCTTTATTCTGGATGAATAGGATGATGATGATGGGCTAATTTTGAGTAGGTTGTTGATGTTGTTGCTTTGGGAATATTTTATATTATTTGCATTGTGTGCTGGGATAGGTTAAATAAATTTTGAAGGTCCAAGAGAGGCCATTACATTTTTATACATTTAAGCAGGTTGGTGTAGGACCCTTTTTAGTAGAGGTCATGCCGAATTTTTTTTATATATAATTGGTTTCAGTTTAGGATCATTACAAATTGGTATCAGAGCAATGATTCGAATACCATTAGGACGACAGGTAGAGGCCTACTTAGGCTTGCATGGGGAAGTTGAATTACATGATTATGTGCTACGTGTTAAAGTGTTTAAATGTTTGAGAAACATGCTTACTAGATTA